ACCAAGAGGATGTGAAGGCGAGCGATCCATGCCTGAGTCTGCACGGTAGCAGGGAGTGGCCCGCTGGTTGCTGCCCACCATACCTCAATCATTTCCCCTCAGGATCACTGCAACCTTCACTACCACCATCACCTCAGCCACCTCCACTACCACCACCATCTCAGCCACCTCCACAACCACCACCACCTCAGCCACCATAATCACCACCACCTCAGCCACAACCACAACCACCACCACCTCAGCCACCTCCACAACCACCACCACCTCAGCCACCATAATCACCACCACCTCAGCCACAACCACAACCACCACAACCTCAGCCACCTCCACAACCACCACCAGTCGGCAAAGAAGATGTTGCACATTCAGCGGATAATTCCAATGGACTGGACCTGCGTGCAGCCCGGTTGAGCACCCGCGCGGCCCTGGGCTGCGATAACGTCCGGATGGAACACTGCTATCTCGGGGCACGCTGTGTGCGTGCTTGCGTGTGTGTGTGTGTGTGTGTGTGTGTGTGTGTGTGTGTGTGTGTGTGTGTGTGTGTGTGTGTGTGTGTGTGTGTGTGTGAGTGTGTGCGTGTGAGTGAGCGTGAACAAGCGTACATGTGCCCGCGCGAGCGAGGGAGAGAAGAGAGAGAGAAGAGAAAGAGTAGATAAAGTATGGGTCAGGAAAAGCACAAGTGGGAGGGATAATAGAACTTTCTTTCACATTCGCTTATGACGGGAAAGTTTCTTATTGTGAATATATTTAATTGTCTGTCAGAATTTAGAATTGACTTTTTTTATTTAAAATGGAAGCTTCTAATGAAGGGTGATAGAGGCGAGAGGCGAAGCTCAGTTTCATCAAATATAATAATAATAGTAATAATAATAATAATAATAATAATAATAATAATAATAATAATAATAATAATAATAACGTTATAATATTAACTTCAATCACTTAGTCATAAACGTAAATAACGGGTCAGAAACCAATTTCATTACGTGGGTTCCATCTCATGTTGGGCTCCGAATGCATGATAAAACTGATGAGTTAGGTAGAACAAATACCTTCAAGGAATGCATTGACTATAGCCATGTACTGCTAATGAGCAGCACGAGAACAGTACCACTCCAAGAACTTCATCAAAACTTCGTAGAGCTGAGTGAAAGTGGACTTTGCACTAGCTGTTCCATCCACCTTCATACTGTCATGCAAGACCAGCCGCATATCTACGGATCATTTAACAAAGCAATGTGAAGCAGTATTCATTTAGCAATTCCACTCACAGGATGGGTATGAGATGCAATTCACCTCACAGGATGGGTATGAGATGTAATTCACCTCACAGGATGGGTATGGGATGCAATATCACTCACAGGATGCGTATGGGATGCAATACCACTCACAGGATGGGTATGGGATGCAATACCACTCACAAGATGGGTATGGGATGTAATACCACTCACAGGATGCGTATGGGATGCAATACCACTCACAGGATGCGTATGGGATGCAATACCACTCACAGGATGGGTATGGGATGCAATACCACTCACAGGATGCGTATGGGATGCAATACCACTCACAGGATGCGTATGGGATGCAATACCATTCACAGGATGGGTATGGGATGCAATACCACTCACAGGATGCGTATGGGATGCAATACCACTCACAGGATGCGTATGGGATGCAATACCACTCACAGGATGGGTATGGGATGCAATACCACTCACAGGATGCGTATGGGATGCAATACCACTCACAGAATGGGTATGGGATGCAATACCACTCACAGGATGGGTATGGGATGCAATACCACTCACAGGATAGGTATGAGATGCAATACCATTCACAGGATAGGTATGGGATGCATTAACAAAAATACTAACCTAACAAACCAGGCCCAATATTGGGACAAAATCCCAACTAGCGATTCACAAGCAAAAACCTCCAAACTATGGTTGTTCACATCATGAAGGTCGCGTTGCTCCTTTAATCTCTCTGGTGAACACAGGACGTGAAACAATTGGAGCTTTCACCAAAATTGCTTTTCAGTGACCTTTCTCAAGGGCGCCAGAGTTCCAAGACAGCGGGTCTCTTAAACTATCTTGAGGTTATCTTGAGATGATTTCGGGGCTTTTTAGTGTCCCCGAGGCCCGGTCCTCGACCAGGCCTCCACCCCCAGGAAGCAGCCCGTGACAGCTGACTAGCACCCAGGTACCTATTTTACTGCTAGGTAACAGGGGCATAGGGTGAAAGAAACTCTGCCCAATGTTTCTCGCCGGCGCCTGGGATCGAACCCAGGACCACAGGATCACAAGTCCAGCGTGCTGTCAGCTCGGCCGACCGGCTCCCTCTGCTATACATTCATACCTTCTCTTTCTTGTTTGGGTTTTCAGTATGAAAACTTCTGCGGGACAGATTGTTTCTTGGTGGATTATTTCTCCGTCTCCTGAATGGTCATTCCCCTTCTGGAGAGGTGGTTGAAGGTCATTTGGTCCGCTTTACTGTTACGTCAGATGATTCTAAATTAGGCTTAGACCTCGGAATGAGATTTATTTTCTTCTCGGCATATTATTATGATTATTTTCGTCACTATCAGGACGAGATCTATTGATTTATTGAAATATTCTGAGTAGTTTGTATAAAGATCATAAATGGGTGCTTTCACACGCACGCAAACACACGCGCACACGCATGCACACATATGCGCGCACGCGCGCACACACACACATACAAACACACAAACACACACGGAGCTTTTACGGACTGGAGTTAGACAGCTATTACAGGCTGCTTCCTTAGTGTGTACTCACCTAGTTGTGCTTGCGTGGGTTGAGCTTTGGCTCTTTGGTCCCGCCTCTCAACTGTCAATCAACTGATGTACAGGTTCCTGAGCCTACTGGGCTCTATCATATCTACACTTGAAACTGTGTATGGAGTCGGCCTCCACCACATCACTGCCTAATGCATTCCATTTACTAACTACTCTGACACTGAAAATGCTCAGAGGGGAAGCTCAGGAATCTGTACACCAGTAGATTGACAGTTGAGAGGCGGAACTAAAGAGCCAGAGCTCAACCCCCGCAAGCACAACTAGGTGAGTACACACCACCACCACCAAGAAAAGCTACAGAGATGGTCTCATAGCTACGACCATGTGCCGCGAGCTCCATACATAAATTTGGTCTGGGTTCGAGTCCTGGTCATGAAGGATTGACTGGGCGCCAGCCCATAACTGCTCTCTCTCGTTCACCCAGCAGTAACTGGGAACCTGGTTGTTAACCGATGGTCGGGTTGTGTTCCAGGGAAAATTAGTGGGTATAAGACTTACCCACTAATAGGTAAAGCTGAGGTGATGACGAACAGACGATAAAGTACAGAGCTCCGCCTCCATAACCAAGCGTGTGGGTCCTGACCCGTCAGTGAGGCAACAGTGGTGATGCTGGAGAGATTACTGGAGATAATGCTGATGGACATGATAATTAAGCGCTAAAGATGCTGCACATGATAGTGATGATGCTGGAAGTGATGCTGAAGACGTCGCTGATGACACACACACACACCTGAGTCGGCGCGGCAATGCCATTGTAGCAGAGACTGGAGTCCAATAATGATGATGATGATGAGGGTTGGTATAATGACAGCAGAGGATGGCTGATTAATGACGAGAGATCCGGTGTCATCCGAGGCTTGGTGTGACTAATGAAAATTGCTTATGGCAGAGGCCCAGGACCTTACACTGAACATCCGGGCCCGTGGTGGGGGCCCAGGACCCTACACTGATCACCAGGGCCCGTGGTGGGAGCCCAGGACCCTACACTGATCACCAGGCCCCGTGGTGGGGGCCCAGGACCCTACACTGATCACCAGGGCCTGTGGTGGGAGCCCAGGACCCTACACTGATCACCAGAGCCCGTGGTGGGAGCCCAGGACCCTACACTGATCACCAGGGCCCGTGGTGGGGGCCCAGGACCCTACACTGATCACCAGGGCCCGTGGTGGGGGCCCAGGACCCTACACTGATCACCAGGGCCTGTGGTGGGGGCCCAGGACCCTACACTGATCACCAGGGCCCGTGGTGGGGGCCCAGGACCTTACACTGATCACCAGGGCCCGTGGTGGTGTTGATGGTGATGATAGTGTGGCCGGTGGTGTAGATGATGATATCCTCATAATGCACCCAGAGTCTACCAGTGTAGACTACTTATCAAATGCCTCAGTATGACTAACCATCCTGTGTGATGAGGATTTTTAGCATCACGTAGCTAGTTTTTTGACACACACTGTACTCCCCTTCATATAGCCTTGGGCAGCTAGTTCTTGACACACACTGTTCTCCCCTTCATATAGTCTAGGGTAGCTAGTTCTTGACACACACTGTACTCCCCTTCATATAGTCTAGGGTAGCTAGTTCTTGACACACACTGTACTCCCCTTCATATAGTCTAGGGCAGCTAGTTCTTGACACACACTATACTCCCCTTCATATAGTCTAGACCAGCTAGTTCTTGACACACACTGTACTCCCCTTCATATAATCTAGGGTAGCTAGTTCTTGACACACACTGTACTCCCCTTCATATAGTCTAGGATAGCTAGTTCTTGACACACACTGTACTCCCCTTCATATAGTCAAGGGCAGCTAGTTCTTGACACACACTGTACTCCCCTTCATATAATCTAGGGCAGCTGCACAAATGCAGATGTACCTAAATGTGTTAATAAAAAAATGAAAAACAAAAGTTAATCGGAGTATTTTTAATTCATATTCTGCGCAATGGATTCGGTGGGGAAATATTGTTGAGAGACAAAAAACCCACATTCACAATTATTAAAGAGTAAACCCTTCAATAAAATTAAACAGTAAACCCATCACAAACATTCATAGTAAACAATCCATTAAGATTAAATTGTAAACCTTTGACTAACAATATATATACACATCTGGCAACACTGCAGGGGTGGAGCAGGCAGCTGCAGGCATCACAAGTCATGGCAACACTGCAGGGATGGAGCAGGCAGCTGCAGGCATCACAAGTCATGGCAACACTGCAGGGATGGAGCAGGCAGCTGCAGGCATCACAAGTCATGGCAACACTACAGGGATGGAGCAGGCAGCTGCAGGCATCACAGGTCATGGCAACACTACAGGGATGGAGCAGGCAGCTGCAGGCATCACAGGTCATGGCAACACTACAGAGATGGAGCAGGCAGCTGCAGGCATCACAAGTCATGGCAACATTGCAGGGATGGAGCAGGCAGCTGCAGGCATCACAAGTCATGGCAACACTACAGGGATGGAGCAGGCAGCTGCAGGCATCACAAGTCATGGCAACACTACAGGGATGGAGCAGGCAGCTGCAGGCATCACAGGTCATGGCAACACTGCAGGGATGGAGCAGGCAGCTGCAGGCATCACAGGTCATGGCAACACTACAGGGATGGAGCAGGCAGCTGCAGGCATCACAGGTCATGGCAACACTACAGGGATGGAGCAGGCAACTACAGGCATCACATCACAGGTCATGGCAACACTACAGGGATGGAGCAGGCAGCTGCAGGCATCACAACACAAGTCATGGCAACACTACAGGGATGGAGCAGGCAGCTGCAGGCATCACAAGTCATGGCAACACTGCAGGGATGGAGCAGGCATCTGCAGGCATCACAGGTCATGGCAACACTACAGGGATGGAACAGGCAGCTGCAGGCATCACAACACAAGTCATGGCAACACTGCAGGGATGGAGCAGGCAGCTGCAGGCATCACAGGTCATGGCAACACTACAGGGATGGAGCAGGCAGCTGCAGGCATCACAGGTCATGGCAACACTACAGAGATGGAGCAGGCAGCTGCAGGCATCACAACACAAGTCATGGCAACACTGCAGGGATGGAGCAGGCAGCTGCAGGCATCACAGGTCATGGCAACACTACAGGGATGGAGCAGGCAGCTGCAGGCATCACAACACAAGTCATGGCAACACTGCAGGGATGGAGCAGGAAGCTGCAGGCATCACAGGTCATGGCAACACTGCAGGGATGGAGCAGGCAGCTGCAGGCATCACAGGTCATGGCAACACTACAGGGATGGAGCAGGCAACTACAGGCATCACATCACAGGTCATGGCAACACTGCAGGGATGGAGCAGGCAGCTGCAGGCATCACAAGTCATGGCAACACTGCAGGGATGGAGCAGGCAGCTACAGGCATCACTGCAGGGATGGAGCAGGCAGCTGCAGGCATCACAAGTCATGGCAACACTGCAGGGATGGAGCAGGCAGCTGCAGGCATCACAAGTCATGGCAACACTGCAGGGATGGAGCAGGCAGCTGCAGGCATCACAAGTCATGGCAACACTACAGGGATGGAGCAGGCAGCTGCAGGCATCACAAGTCATGGCAACACTACAGGGATGGAGCAGGCAGCTGCAGGCATCACAAGTCATGGCAACACTACAGGGATGGAGCAGGCAGCTGCAGGCATCACAAGTCATGGCAACACTACAGGGATGGAGCACGCAGCTGCAGGCATCACAGGTCATGGCAACACTACAGGGATGGAGCAGGCAGCTGCAGGCATCACAGGTCATGGCAACACTACAGGGATGGAGCAGGCAACTACAGGCATCACAAGTCATGGCAACACTACAGGGATGGAGCAGGCAGCTACAGGCATCACAGGTCATGGCAACACTGCAGGGATGGAGCAGGCAGCTGCAGGCATCACAGGTCATGGCAACACTACAGGGATGGAGCAGGCAACTACAGGCATCACAACACAGGTCAGAGATTACACAGTAACACGACAAAATATTCGTTTGTCGTGTATTACAGTAGTCTACGTTCTCACCATATAATCTAGCATCCTGGGTTCGATCCTCGGGCGGTACAGAAATGGCTGGGAGCGCTTCCTTTCACCTAATGCCTCTCTTCACCTACCTGTCAACTGGTACCCCGGGATTTAGGCAACTGTTGCGGGTTGCACACTGTTGCAAGTCCCGCTTGCCCATCAACGGGAATTATTCAGACTCAGTATTTAAATGCCAACCTGTTAGCTGCCGGAAGTTATAAATACCGAACTGGGGTAATTAAACCCGTGCAACATGCCAATAAAATAAACCCGATTAATTAACTGGCTAATGCAAATTGCAGCAAGACGCAGACAGCTTAATTTGTGGAGATAGTGATTGCAACATCAACTAATTACGTCCTAATCAACTGAGAGGAGTTGAGAGGGTAGAGAGGATAGTGTTGTATTTTTGTTACATTAATTTGTTTATATTTAACATAAACGTTACTGGCTTATAATGTTATGAATACAGTAGTGAGGCGAACATTGTCACTTACCGGTGACCTGCTGTAGGCTGGTCTTATACTGGTGGCCTGCTGCAGGCTAGTCGTATACTGGTGGCCTGCTGCAGGTTGGTCTTATACTGGTGGCCTGCTGCAGGCTGGTCTCTTACCGGTGGCCTGCTGCAGGCTGGTCTCTTACCGGTGGCCTGCTGTAGGTTCTAGTAAAGACTGGATTGGCAGTCGGCGATTGGCCAGGTCAGACGATCTAGTCAACTTGGGTGTTAATTACAGTAGCGTGACCATGTGTCGCTGCGTCACTCAGCGTCACGTTACTCACCATAACTCACTCTGGGAGGCTGAACATCTTACAACCATCACAACCCCAGTAAGGCTATCAACTCTGCCGTTTAACTCACAACACAAACTCTCTCTCACTGCAATAACAGAGATCACTTAGGAAGCTGCACCGATCAATTAATGCCTCTACAGTGTTGCTCCTGGCAATTAATGCCCCCCTACAACGCTGCCCAGGGGAACTAATGCCCCTACAACGCTGCCTCGGGTAACTAATGCCCCTACAACGCTGCCCCGGGTAACTAATGCCCCTTCAACGCTGCCGTAGACCCACGCCGATAGATGTATCGTCACTGATCACCGCACCAACCCGCGACACTAGCTATAGCGTGGACTGTACTACCCGCTGCAGCACAGATGACAATGGAAAGTGAGAACAGGTGTGCGGGTGAGGCTCGACAGCTGTGCTAGGGAGACAGGTGTGTGTGACTGTGTTTTTCGCGGGTCCGAGATCCGGAAACAATGGGGTGAGGGAGGAGTGGGGAGGAATGGAGAAGAAAAGGGAGAGAACGGGGATAAGGAAGAGAAGGAAAAGAGGGAAGAGAAGGAAAAGAGGGAAGAGAAGGAAGGAAGGAAGGAAGGAAGGAAGGAAGGAAGGAAGGAAGGAAGGAAGGAAGGAAGGAAGGAAGGAAGGAGAGAGATGGCATGAAGGGAGACGAGGATGGGAATTAGTGGACGGAATGAACCACTGCAGAGTAGGATTTTTTATGTAATGACAGATGGAGGTGAAGATAAGAGAGTAATAATTATATATATATATATATATATATATATATATATATATATATATATATATATATATATATTTCTGTCAGAGAGAGAGAGAGAGAGAGAGACAGAGAGAGACTGGGACAGAGAGAGACACAGAGAGAGAGAGAGCGAGAGAGACAGAGAGAGAGAGAGAGAGAGAGAGAGAGAGAGAGAGAGAGAGAGAGAGAGAGAGAGAGAGAGAGAGAGCGAGAGAGACAGAGAGAGAGAGAGCGAGTGTTTATTAAGGAGAGGCGTGTTATGGGATAGGGGTGTGTTATGGGATAGGGGTGTGTTATAGGATAGGGGTGAGGGATCAGAAATAAGGACAGCTGGGTATATCGAAGCACAAGACTCAGGACTCTGGGTGAAGCAACATGAACTGGGTCAAGCGGTTGACAGGTATATATGGTCTTGACGGGACAGATCAAGTTGAGACTAAATTTCATACCTTACCTCCCTTATCTCACCGTCATTTTGTCTGTCATTGAGGTTTTCAGGTCCCTCTGTCTCTATAACTGTCAGCGTCCGTCAGTCTGGTCCTCTCCCTGCCGTCTGTGGCACAAGAAACCTCGGTGGAGCGTGGCAGCGAGAAGCCTGGTTGTGCAGACACATACTTATGTGAGGAATGTCTCAACCAGACGCAGACTATGTTGCTGCTGCTGCTCCTGTGGTTCATACTGCTGCTGCTGCTGCTGCTGTGGTTCATACTGCTGCTGCTGCTGCTGTGGTTCATACTGCTGTTGCTGCTGCTGCTGCTCCTGTGGTTCATACTGCTGCTGCTGCTGCTGCTGCTCCTGTGGTTCATACTGCTGCTGCTGCTGCTGCTGCTCCTGTGGTTCATACTGCTGCTGCTGCTGCTGCTGCTCCTGTGGTTCATACTGCTGCTGCTGCTGCTGCTGCTCCTGTGGTTCATACTGCTGCTGCTGCTGCTGCTGTGGTTCATACTGCTGTTGCTGCTGCTGCTGCTCCTGTGGTTCATACTGCTGCTGCTGCTGCTGCTGTGGTTCATACTGCTGATGCTGCTGCTGCTGCTGCTCCTGTGGTTCATACTGCTGCTGCTGCTGCTGCTGCTGCTATGGTTCATACTGGTGCTGCTCCTCCTCCTGTGGTTCATACTGCTGCTGTTGCTGCTGTGGTTCATACTGCTGATGCTGCTGCTCTTGAAGTTCACACTACTGATGTATATATTGTTATTGTTCAAAACTCCATTACTGATTCTGTGGTGAATATTGCTACAGTGTGATGTGAACACATTTGAACATCTGCTTAATTGCAGGCCTAAAAATACAACTCTTGATTTTAATATGTTCAACAGGGACCAATTACACAACGAAGTCACTAAGTCAGGAAGTCAGGAAGTCACGAAGACACGAACTCACTAAGCCACGAAGTCATTGTAAAGATAAACATGACATATTCCTGAGAGGTGAGGAAGGGTGAGCTACTGAGGCTCTGGGGTGAGCGACCCAAGCTAGACTCCCCCCGCCAGCTGATGAGCTTCCCAGCCCTCCCAGCACCCACCCCTCCCAGCTCCCAGCCCTCCCAGCTCCCACCCCTCCCAGCACCCACCCCGCTCCACTCACCTATTACTGCCCCACCCCGCTACACTCACCTTATATATGTTTACAGATAGAGTTACAAATAAAGGACGAGAAATATGTCCCCGTGGCGTAGTGGTAAAGCACTCGCGCGGCGCTTCGCGAGCGCTTTGGCCTGGGTTCGTATCCTGGCTTGGGGAGGATTTACCGGGAACGAATCCTTAACTGTAGCCTCTGTTCACCCAACAGTGAATGGGTACCTGGTTGTTAAATGATTTGGCGGGTCGTATTCCGGGGAAAATTAGGATTAAGGACCTGCCCGAAACACTATACGTACTGGTGGCTTTACAAAAATGTAAGAACTCCTGTATATATAAATTTAATAAATAAAATACAATAAAAAGGGTTAGAAAAAAAAGGAGCCTGAGGTTATTTCAGTAGTTGAAACCAAGATAAATTATATGATCTTGTATGTAATATATACATGGTGATATCAGGCAATAAGAAAAGAAAGAACACAAAGACAGAAAGGGAGAGGCACTCTAATGAAAAGAAAAAGTATATTTGAGGAACTTGAAGATGTTAATGCAAATGGATAAACTCAGACGATATCTGTGGAACTCTGATTGCAGACGGAAAGTATATATAGTGGTCTTGGTGATATACAATCCCACAACAAACAACATAAGACCCTGACAGGAATATGAGGACTCAAACAAAGTATGCATAGATGAACTGCAAAGGGCAGCCAATGCAGCACACAGAGAGTTGACCTACTAATAATGGCCGACCAACATTTTGGAGATAGAATGCGAATTGAGTTCTGAAGAGGAATTTCTTTACACAACATGTAAAAGACGACACAAGAGAAAAGGAAGGACGGATGCACCTAGTCTACTGGATCTGATCTTGACCCAAAGTGAGAAAGATAGCGAAAACCGTATGAAGTCACGAAGTCACTTCTTAGCGGTATTTCATACCACTAGGAAGCTGGCTCCAAGTGGTATGAAATACCACTTGGAGCCAGCGACCATTTTGCCTTTGTCTCTTACTATATGGTAGAATTAAAAGCAATGAAAGGGAGGAAGCACTTAATGAGAAGACACATAAACACTGTCAGAGATCATAGGAAGATTTTAACGTAAGAATAGCAGGAAACAGGAATAAAGTAATCAAGCAGGTTGCAGAAGCGAGCTACATGTTCCTAATTCCAAAAGTAGATTCGACAACAAAATAGGACGGGAGTCACTGCATTGCAAGGTGTCACTTCATGTCATACATTAGCCGTCACTGCCTGACGGCTAGAATGGTTGGGTCCAAGAGCTATAATTCGGCCCAGCAGCCATAAATAGATGAGAATAGTGGCAGCCTCGGATACATTCAGATCCCCTTTTTTGATGCCTATGAAGGCTTGGAGCTCCCCGCTGGGAACTCCGGATCACCTTCCATCCACCCTGACGAGCCTCACCCATCCTATCTCCCCATTCACCACCTCATCCCCAACCTCCTTTTCAACTCCCCCACCCCTCCTATTTTCCTTCCTCCTTCTCCTTCCCCCCTCACCACCCACTTCCCATCCCCAACCTGCCCCAAGAGGATTTAAACCTCACTGGAGCTGAAAATTTGCTCCTCTGCGAGTTCAGATTTTGGGGGTTTGAGCGCGAAACTGTGGCAGATGTTTATATATGACCTGTGAAGAGGAGCTCGTCCGCGTTCACCTCCGTCTCTCTTGTTGTGTTTTGTTTGTGCGCTGATATGCGAGTTTATCCTAATAATTTAAATAGAGATTTCAAGAGGGATTCGAACTAGTGTCCGGTGTTGCGCCAGTCTTGAATAGTAACCATAGTGGCACTAAACACAATAATAGAAACCCGAGTTTGCCGAAGAATTGGTGTAAAAGAGCAGTCTCAGGGCCGTGATTA